TACCGGTGTGTCTAGAGGAACCCTTACGCAGTCATGTCAAGATTATTGCTTGAGATCATGTTCGTGACCAGGCACCTTCCTGACTCAATAACACACTCATGAAGCTTAAAACACCTCATTTGACAACCTAGCAGGTGTTTTATGTCAAGTTTGTTCCCGGTGACTGCAGCTGCTCCTTTCTTTAAAAGAAATAATAACTTGTGCAGACAGAGAGCAAAGGACTCCTACTAAATGTTTTATGACACCACAGATGATCTCTAGAGATGAGTACAATTAAAAATTTCATCCAACTACTGACTTTTTTCAGCTGTTTTTTCCAAATGACCTATTGTTACTTCTGTTGCATTGGCTGAACTCAAGCCACTGAGTTAAAAATTGTCTTCCTGAAAAAGTGAAAAAAAAACTGAGAGAAGAAACAATAACACCCTGTCTGTTTGATGTAAGTGTATAATGCAGGCTTACATGAGCAAATATTGATGTGGAAATTCTGTATTTATATGTTGCCATGCAGAGCACCACACGTGAGAGCAGTTCCCTTATAATCAGTAGGAGTAATACAGTCACATGGTATTTATTTCCAAATATAATATATTTAATAATCTCATCTGACCAGTTATGCAAAGCATTAAGAATAATAATATTATTTAACATCTGAACCAGTAAATCCAGCAAAATTCACTCTAATTGATTTGAGGCAACTCCTTGCATCTATCCTCATCTTGCCTATTAGTGACATGGAAAGAATTTAACCCAGGACTTGCGCTCTTTTCAAGCTCTTAAGACTACCATGACCTGCAGGACCGAGAACCTACACAGACATTTGACCCAGAAGTTTGATTAAAGATGTGCTATTGGACACTTATTTTATTATCCATAGACTGGTAGCATGTAAACAGCAATTACACTTTGAAAGCCTATGATTCTGTGTAAAACGGGCTAAAGATGCTCTTGTGCTGCTGTTTAGAGTAGCTTTTAGATGATTAGTGTGGATTGTTATCCACACTTCTCAGTGATCTCATATATTGAGACGCTTGCTTCTCAGTGAGTTGATCCGTAGTCTCACAGGTCATAATCTCATAGATAATCCTTCAGTTACTCCGTCTTTGGATGACTTAACACCACTGAATGCCAGGCTAAAAAAAACCCATTTAAAATAAAGAACACATAATGCTGTGATATAATGATAACAAACACAAAAAAAAGTGTGTTGGAAAAGTAAAAAGGACCACATGATATGATAAATATCACTGAAACACAGTTGAGTAATGCCGTAAAGTGAGGCAATGAACTATGGAAGAGAAACTAGGATCTTTTGTGTACCTATTTTCTTTGCAGAACAGCTGAATCTCTGTTTATCTGCACATTTTGGCAGCGCCTGTAGGTACACTGACAACTTCTTACAAACTGTGATTGTAATTCTAATAAATCTTTCTGCAGAACTTCTTTGCCAACAGAGAAAGGGATTCTGGTGCGATTAAATGAATGCTGTGATTGCCTTCTAGCTACACTTTAGTTTTAAAAAAGTCAGCTGGTATCTTTCCTATGTCAGTGTCACTTTGCAATGTTATGTGACAACCTATATTTCACCTCTAATACGTGCCTGCCGGGTGGGGTTCCTTTTCTCCCGACACCCCCCTGTTGAGGATCATATGATGCTCTTGTGTTGCTTTGTAATGTTTTGCATATGGCTCCCGGGCGAGGATCCAAACTCTGAGTTGAATGGTGTTTTTGTTCAACATGGATCATCCCAGAAGAGAGCAAGAGTGCACACGGCTCCCTCAAACAAGCCTGTCAAGATGTCCGTGGAGGCCCAACGCCAGCACACCCCACCAGGCAGCTGCTGCCTGCCAGGCGCCCATCTACAAATAATCTACTGTGGGAGGAGGTGTCAGTCTGTTCTGTCAGGGTATACAGTGTGTATCCAATTCTGAGTGAATGGTTCAAAGCTATTGCACAAAGAACTAGGTAATAATAAAAATCTCAATAGTGTTTGTATTTAAGCAAACTGAGCCAGTTCTGAAATGTAAGCCACATTCTGTGACTTCCATGTAGGGATTACTGAACCTAGCAGGGACTTGCTCCGGGGTCCAAGAAAGAGAAGCAAAACAGTGTTCTTTTTTTTTCTTTTGAAAATGACTACAAAGAGACATAGAGCAAACCACAGCATTTACACAACTACAAATGTAACAAACAGCTATAAATAAACACACAACTACTAGAATGGGTGCAAAGTAATTGCAAAAAAGAGACATGAAACCACAAAGAGACACAAGATAACTAAGAAAATGGATGCAATGTGCATTTCTGCAGATGTGAAATGTTGTAACACAACCACAAAGAGATGCAAAAGGGCTACAAGAGTTGAGGTACAAAGAACCATATTTTGGAGATATACAAAATTACACTTAAAACATCTAGAATAACTAATAAAAGACGCGAAACAACTACAAAAATATGCAAAATGTCTGCAAAAATAATGAACACTGATGCAAAAAACAACAACCCTGCACATTGTGACTGCAAAGAAATACAAAACAACTACACCATGATCCAAAACAACTACAAAGAGTTGCAAGAAGAAATGACTGCAAGGGATGCAACCGTCTAGAAATAGTTAGAAAAATGAATACAAAGAGCCAAAAAAAAAAAAAGATTGCAGAATGACTTTAAAATCATGCATGATGGCTTATTAAAGATGCAAAACAACTACCAAATTATAAAAGTGGACAACAGAATTACAAAGACTTGGAGAAGAAAAGAATACAATAGAAGAGAAAGGCAACTTTACTGACATTTGGGAATGTAGCGTAAAGTGCTTTGGCGTCCATAGGGACTAAGTAAAGCGCTATACAAATATAGGCCATACAACAGTTAGTGCACATCAAAATAAAATTTCAGAGCATCTAAATCTAAAGGTGTGAATATATATGTATTTTTAAAACTAGAATATAGACACATAAGAATATAAGGGCAATATGTCTCTATACACTATTATTAGAAAGGAAAAGTGTACTAGAGGCATAAACAGGTGCAAAACTATTACAAAGAGATGCAAAGACTACAAATAGAAATACCCAACAACAACAAATATAGGTATGTAAAACAAAGGTGTATTCTAGCCATGCAAAGCTGCAACAAAGACATCTGCAAAAATACCATAGCTATATATCAGTCTGTTTATTTATATAAGGTTGTGCCATTACATTTATATGAGATGACTCACACATCACGGCACCGTAACAGGTTAGGTATGGGGTGCTACTTAGAGCTTACACAAATAACACACATTTCGGGGGTTTTTGTATTTTCTAAGTGATCTTTTGCAATTGCTAGGTATTTTGGCAACTTTCCATGGTGCATGATTAGCAGCATGCAGTTTTGAACTATTACCGTAGGACACAAACCATCACGTTTTATCATTTCACAGTGAACTGCACTTCTTCTTGTATTACAGAACAGCCAGTCAGTTTTTTGACAGCCCAGTGATCAGGTGGCATGTCATACACCATTAAGCATGACTGCGATCGCTACGGGGTCCATGCTATAAATTCCTAAGTGTTCTGTTCACACATTTTGTTTTGATACTTTTAGTTTATCTCTGCTTTCTTTGACAAATAAAATTGTTTTGACCACTTTTCATAGAAAATGACGATGTAAAATGCTGCATGAAAAACCCCAAGTCATATGGCTTTACCCCCGTTGGAAATTGCTTACAGACAGTCAAGTAAACCGCAATCAGTTTGTATAAACAACACAAGAATATAGCCCATGCTACTGAGCCAATACAGTGTCTCACAGGCCTGGCTGCTGATACAAGTTATATAAATGCTAAAGCGACAATAAGGCAGATCCTGAGAGGTGCCCGCTGGGAAACATGGCCAGCATGCCAACTCTGAATGTCTAGAGCCAGACACTTTGGAGATGTGTGTGCAACAAGCTCTTCCTTTACTTTAATTTGAAAAAGGTCAGTTATATTAACATTTTCAATGTGAGATCACCCCCTTTGATTTAACTGGTGGAAAGTCCAGTCATGATCTGGAAATTTGAAAATGTTGCACTGAATGAAAGTTGTTCTGAGATCTGCTTGCATGCATAAAAAAAACTTTTCCAGCTCAAAGATCAATCAAAGCTCTCAAATAAACCTAATATACTACATGGCCTCCCTGTTTCACAGCACCAGTATCACATTGAGCCTCAAGCCAGGAGTGTCTTGCTCTGGTCATCATGGCAACTCCTCTGCCAAGACCCATCAGAAAGTGTCTGTATTTATCCTCATACACACTGCCAAGTAAATCTTGAAATGCTGCTCTGAGTACAGATGTTGGCATTAGAGGAACATAAACTCCTTAACCTGTTGTTGGAAGGAACTTCTTCCAGCTGTGTGACATATCTTTATGGCTGATCAAGTGGATTAATCCTCCAGAGGGATGCTTGAGGTCACAACTGGATTTTTATGCCAAAACAACTACAAAAATCAGACACTGTCAGAAAATATTCTTCCTTGCAATTTTTATTTTACCATCTATTGAATTCAGTGAGTTTCTCCATGGGAATGTAAATTGCCTACTTGGGGGGGGGGGGGGGGAGGAAGATGAAAGGATAGTAGGGACAGCACACATGGTGGGCAACAAGTGGGGTGGAAAACCGAGCGCCACGTGCTTGATATACTGTGGTGCACCAGCAACAGCCACTACACGAACTGTGGAACACGAGGACACAGCATGATTATGAAAATGATTAGAAATTTTACAGTTTAATAAAAAGTATTCAAAAACAAAAACAAAACAAGCTCTTTGTTGGATGAGTGATTCCTCGCAGTCGTACAATGTGAACAGAACACTGTACTGGAGATAACTGTGCTTTAAGTGTCTATATAATCTGGGAATATAATAACTATTTCTTGCTAGTTAACGCTCTTGAAGTCTGCTCTGGTGACTACAGCGTCAATAGTCCTGTGAAGCTCCACCTCCACTACCACCTTTTATGTTAATTTCCGCGCGGACTGAAGTGAGCCACTGCGTGCTGGATCTGTTAGTTGCTGTGAGCTGCTGCTTGATGTCGATGAATCTTTGGATAGACACAACCTAACGCTGAATCACTGTCGGGACTCTTTTTCCCCCCCTGTGCGTGTGTGAACAGTGTGGTGTCCATATAATGTCGCTGCTGAGGACGCGAGGCTGAATGTGAATACTGTGGATCCAGGTCGCAGTTAGAGGGAGAGGTGAAAGCACCTTGCATCCAGCCATGGGAGGTCAGATCACCAGGAATACCTTTTACGGTAAGGGCATCTGGCGTCACCGGACAGGAGAGCGTGTGCCGATTGTTTATTATGCGCCACAACTGTAATATTATAAGAGGAGACGATATAAACGAGTTGTAGGCTTGGCTTGTGCAGCTTAAGCCAGTGTGCATGAAAACTGTAGGCGTCCTGGGAGCCTAAAATAAAGGAGAAGTGAAATTACAGCCGCTTTGGCCAAGTTTAAGCACCATTTGTAAGTCACGACTGGTTTAGGATTAAAGACACTGGTGTTTTTTAAGTGTGAAAATCCTCTGCGACATATTAACCGACTTCCAGCAAAAGAAACCAAACAGGACAAACTGAACTGAGCTGGTTAGAGGATTAAATAGCCTTCAACTTTTTTTTTTTTACCCACCTGCTTGTTATTTTTTATTTATTTATTTATCTCTGCTTTTAGTTGATGCCTAACACTTTTAGAGTCTCCTGCCTCTTTTTAATGAACCTGCGTGTCTGAAATTGTAATAGTGAGCAGGTACAGGGTATCTTGTTTCCTCTGCTTTTTGCTTGTATTCTGTTTCACTTTTTAGGTGTACGTTCAGTGGTAAAAGTCATATAGAACCCCGTTTAGTTTTGAATGATTATTGGGAGTCTGACACTGATATAAGTACACACAACATGCATTTAGTAAAATTTCTTAAACCTGTTATTAAACTATACTGAGCACTAAATGAATTTAAGATGACTGTGGTCTTTTGTTTTTTTAAGCGTTTAACTCGTTAGTGCTGTTTTATTAAGATTAAGCATTTAAATTTAAAGTTGGCACAGTAAAAGTTCATGTATCAGGCATTAGGGTAGAGCTGAAGCAATACTTTGAATCGATTATTCAGTCTCCAGAAACATAATGCTTTTGGATATGTGATTGTTTCAGTTAATTCCCAAGTAAACCAAGTAGAAAGTTCTCTGGCTCTGGCCTCTCACATGTGATGGTTTGCAGATTTTCTGTGGCTTACTCATCTTAAATTTAATAACCTTGAGTATGAACTGATGGTTGACGGGCAGGGAATTTTGATGAGTTTACGCTCTTTTCTGTCATTTTATGGAAGAACATGAAGTAGCTAATAAAGAAATATAACCATCAGGTAAATTGAATTATAAGAATCCCATTAATAGCATCTTGTTGGGGGCCTAACTGATGCAGTTCTAGTGTTACACTATGTCTTTTGTGGGATGTAGTGTTTTGATTAGCTTTCAGTTGCTTTACATCAGCAAAGATTTGCCAGATGATTGAATGCTCTGTGGTTTTTGGTTCCTAGTTATTGTAAACAGTCCACATACAGTAAATGCCACAAGTCTGTGTGGCCTTATTTGATAGAAACCTGGCATTCTCTTGTACTTCTGATAATTTGTGACCATTATATTTCAGTGAACTCAAGTCAGATTAACTAAATTGGATAGAAATAATTTTATACCAGCACAAATGATCTTCCACTGTCTCTGGCTATAAATGTTTTAGGACAGCAACAGTTTTTGGGTTCATTTTTCTGTTCAGGTGGTACAATGAAGGTGATAACTTATATAGAGTTTACAGTCTTCCTTTTCACTTTTTATTCAGGTCTCCAACACTGTCTATCAGCACCAACCTGCCCATCCTATTTTTCTAACTTTTACGTTCCATATCCATATTATAATTTTTTTGGTTTCATCTCTCTTCCATATTGGTATTATCTTGCTTTAGTTTACAATTGCAGTTTGGTACTTTTTGATATACCAAGTGCTTTCTAGCACACCCAGATGAACCCGTTCATGTGATCCCTTTTCCAGCTTCAGTTGTAGGGTCCACTGGTGTGACACAATACAGGTGCAGACAGGGGCACAGCTAGAAGTTCTTGGCTGTCAGCCATGTGTTCAATCGGGGTCCTAAAAATGTAAACCTTAATAATCCCTGTCGCGTTGCAGGGCCCACCTCCAGTTTAAGGGCTCATGAATCATTCAACCTTCACTCCTCCCCGTTTGGTAAACCTTCATGACGACTCTGGCATGCATTGTTCTTACTTAAAAATTCTTTAGTTCGATGTTTTCAAATAGGAACACTGCATTTTTGGGCGGTTTTGGACTGTTGCTGAGAAAATAAAAACAAGACATTTCAAGGTATCACCTTGAGCTGTGAAATTGACATGTTTTCATAATTTTCTAGAGCAAACAACTAATCCAGCCCAAAGTTTACATCATGTTACAGTCCAGTATACATCTTTAACACTGTGCATGTATACCTGTTAGCTCATGACAAATAAAATAGGCTTTCCTTTAGGTTTTTTAAATAAAGCAGTTTAAAAACAATGAATTGATCTAACATTGGAAACAAAACCCACTTAAACAGATTCAAGTGATGGTCCTGTCAAACCTGAACTAGGCGCAGCCCTTTTACAGAGGCCTCATACAAAGCATCTTCTCTGGTAAGACGTTTAAAAACTTTTAAATCACAAATGTTTATCTCTTATTGAAACAACGCCAGCTATGACATATGTGGAAAAAGCTAAATGTGCCCTGGAGCTCTTTAGAATGCATTTGAGGGGCCACCATGCCTTGATACTAACGTCACACCACATTAGGGCCTCTGCTGAGGCGTCTTAGTAAGACCAAGCCTCAGGATAAAACACAGAGGAGCGTAGGAGGCCAGGTGACACTGGCCAGGGCCACTCATTGTCTCTGCACTGTTTGTCTTTTCCAATTAATGACAGCAGAGGCAGTCACATTGTGTGCGGTGGTGCATTAAGTAACATTATCCTTAAGTTGCTCATCTGACGTTTGTCATGGCACCTCTCTTTTATCGTGGCAGGGCTCTGGTCGGTGGTTACCCTGACGTCACCGTCGGGTTGCATGACTTTTTAAACACACTTCAGCAACCATTGTATCATCAGCACTTTTGGCTCTAATCAGTTGTCATCTACAGTAAATCAAATGTGGTATTTTTATTTATCCTTTTATTTACTTTTTTGACTTTCATAGTTTATATAGTCCTTTGAAAGTTGTAAACCCCTGACAGGATGTCTGGGTTGTGGAAATAAACCTTCAGCTGATTAAAAAAAAAAAAGAAAGTCTGTAGAATTCAATTTCACAGCAGCAGAAATGGTAGTAATATAGCAAAAATGAAAGAATATATTGGATTCTCTGGTTAGATGGTGGAGGATAAGAGACGCCACGGTCTGCAGGGCCAGTGAGGTGAGGTGTTGCTTCTGTTTTCAACCCTAACAGGAAATATTCTATTCTATTCTCAAGCCTGGTCTTTGATGGAGTACAATGCAGTGCTGTTTTGTTTTCCCCAAGACATCACGTCTGACACGACGTCATGGATGCAATATGGTTGAAGGGTTTGTTATGACTTCATTTAAGACCACTGTTGTGCACAGAGCACAATTAAGCATTGTTCAGCATTGACAAGAGCATGCAAAAAGCTTACTAAATACACTGTGCTGAGTACAGAACACTTGGCAGAGGCTCTCTGATTGTGATTTGAAGGGCAGGACTGGACAGAAATATGTGACAACGATTCCCATTTGACAGCATTTGTAATTATTTTTCAGGGTTGACTATGACAAGTTTTTTTGTTTTTTTTTAAATATAAATCATGTCTTCATCTACTGCTCAAATCTCTGTCTCTGCCCTAAAATTAGAACGCTGTGATGTTCTATTAAACCTGGCCTCAGAAGTCACATGGCGACTCGTCTCCAATCCTGGCAGTCCTAACTGATTTGTCTCTGTGGTGCATTATATACCTCTTGACCTTCCAAGGTCAATTAAAGGAGAGCAAAAATAGCTGTCTTTCAGCAGTGGCTCACATTCTCCTCTTGCAGACAAACACAAGCTGCTCATACACAGTCTTCCAAGTTTAGGTGCGAAAATGCAACCAGTTCCCGAGGATGAAGAAGCGTTAATGAGGCTTAAATTATTTATTTTGTTCACACTTTGTGCTCGATGGTATTTTAAAACCCTGAAATGCTGCTGTAGACAAGGTCGGCGTTTTATGGAATAAAATCTGTATCAAATCGCGTCGTGAGATAAAATTTATTTGTGTTATCAGTAGAATAAAAAGTTGGGTTTTGACTGAGCCAAAGTTTGTGAGAAAACACCTCCTCCATTAAAACCACAGTGACCTTGGTGTGGTCCTTTTGAAGAGGAATGTAGGAAATGAGAATGGGGAGAGTGGATCCAAATGAGAGGGAGTCCGTGTGAATCATGATTATGAAGGCTTTGAGATTGGACGTTTGGGGGGGGAAAAAAAAAGCTGGTTCTCTTTTATGAGTTACTGTAAGTGGGACAAGTTGTTCACATTTTCACATGGGAAAAAATCTAGAAACCCGGGTGCATGGTGTGACTCACTGTGTACCTGTGGAGTTTTTTGTTTTTTTTTACCACTTCCTCTGACTTACAAATCACAATAAATGCCTCACATTTTGCACCACTGATTTTGTAGCGTCGCGTGTACGTGACTTTCAGACATAAAGACTTATGATAAGATTGATATATGCTCATTAAACCACGAGCCGTAACTGGAAATAACATGTTAACAGCCATTCCTCACTATTATTAGTGTAGCTTGGAATATACTGTATTGGCCAACTGAACATACACGCATCAAGAACTCCCATAAGATCCCAAAGGTCATTTTCTTGGCTAATTGTGGTCTTATTTGTGTGTAAGTTGATCTTTTTTTTTTCTTTGTCCTCCGCCTCCTTCTGCTTCCTTTACCGCTTTCTGCTGATTATCAAACAAAAAGTTTTCCACAGAAAAAAAAAGAAAACCAAATGCAACACAAATCAGATGATTATCTTGAAAGATGTAGAATAACAAAAGTGAGATTTCGGTGTTACCGGAAATGACCATTTACTGAAATGAGAGTGTTTTGCACAGACTTCTCGCAGCTGCATTGTTCTCCTAAATTACGGTGCCAGGAGAGCAGGTCTGTCTTTGTGCTGTTGGGTTTGTGTTTTGTTTTTTTTTTTGTTGTTGTTTTGTTTTGTTTTTTAAATCCAAGGACATTTAGCTTCTAATTTACAATACAGGTGCTATTACTGTGCTACCGTGAGAAGATGGAAACAGACTTATGCTTTAAATTGCTTAAATAAATGTAATTGCTTCTGTTTGTCTATCTGTCTGTCTCTTTGTTAGCAGTCTAGCATCCAAAGTTTTTAAGATTTCATTTTCAAATTTTTCATGACGGTAGTTACCAACAAGAGCTCAAGCTGATTTAGTTTTTGCGAAAATCGGGTCAAGGTCACACCAAATGTGAAAATCAGTCCAAACGTTATGTTACCCATGATTTCTTTTTATGGATCATCTTTAAACTCTACAACAATATACTAGGCCTTGGAGTACCAAAATTGGATAAGCATTTGACTTGACCGTCATTGTTGCAAGTTGACCTTGCAAAATATCATATATATGGGCATGGAAAAAGGGCATGGAGAGAGCTATACAACACGCTTTTTATTTTCTCAATACAACACTATACAACTAAAGCCCTTGCCCTTTGGGGAAAGTTGGGTTCTCTGAGTGCTTTTGTTACCAAATTGGATAATTCAGGAGAATGAACCAGCCAGTGTGGTCCTGCAGTGGTACAGACAGCCTGATTCAATACTGCAGTCAAATGTAATCTAATATTTGGGTATTTTACTGTAAATTGCACCCCAAGAAAATTAACTCCCCCTCAACCCTTGACCAAAATAACCAACTCTTACGCTTCTCATTCTTCACATAGATTCCCTAAATGGACCGTTTCCAGCAGGACCTCACCGATATCACCACAAGCCCAAGCGCTGCCTTCCCATCCAGCCATGTGGAAATTTGTCCTCCTTCCCTCTGCTCTTCCACCCAAGCACCAAGGGCTCGCAGATCGTCATGGACATGTCTCAGAGAACTGTCAAGAGACAGGCCAGCTTCTGCAATGCCATCACCTTCAGCAACAGACCTATCGCTGTATATGAGCAGGTTCGACTGAAGGTAAACGATGCACTATTCGAATGCCATTTGTATTCACAGGGATAATTACTATTGGAGCCCCGGTATGCTACACACAGAAAATGACTGGGTTAAAAATTGACCTATTGCACAATGAGTCCAAAGTCCGACACCAGAACTAGAGCACAACTAGTTGTCATTTTCATAATTTCCTGTAACAAAAAAGTTACTTTACAAAACCATAGATTAGCACATCTTGTACTTTCTGATATTATTACAGTCAATTACTGAGAAGATCCAAATTGTGAGTATGATGAAAAGTAGTCCTCTTTTATCTCTGTCCCTCTAATTCTGTTAGCATGTTTTCATTTTCTTCTCCCTGCCTGTCTGCCTCCCTTTCTTCATCCCAGCTCTTCACTCTCCTGTTTTCATTTTCTCTCTTTCCTCTCTGTGCTCTTGTGTGGGCCAAAGCGGCAGCAGCTTAGAACAAGTTTCCACTTCACCTATCAGGCCATCTATGTCTCGAATGTGAGAGAGTAGGGCAAGCACTGCCATGTGAGGAACACTGTTATCTGGCACAGTAAATGCAAAGTAAATAGTGCTTCGAAATAAGACAAAAATCGTTTGCAGGTGATAAACATACCAAGGTAACCAATCTTGAAAGTGATAAGTTGTTTTTTTAGCCCTGCTAGTGGTTTGGCACTATGATGGGAATGTTGTGCTGTCTGTTTGTTCAGACTGAAATATCTCAACTATTGGATAAATTGGCATGAAACTTACAGACATAGAAGCCCATCCGTCCATCTATTTTCTTAAGCACTTATCCAGCCAAACCAAATTAAATTCCTCAAGATAAGTAAAAATAACATCAGTAACTCTATGTAAATGATTGATGTAGCCACATTTCAAAGCCTCGATGTTAGCTTTGCTTAGACAGGCTTCGCCATGCAGCGGGCCATATTATTTCGCAGATAGTTTCTTTCAAAATGCTCCAAGAGGCACAAACAGCACAAACATGGTTGAGAGGTCCACTTCAGTGAATTGAATTAGTGCAGGAGAGTTCAAGCAGACAACCATCGGCTACAGCATTGTGGACCACATGTGAGCGATAACGTTAATAAGGTTTATTTGCCCGCACAGAGAAATTCTTTTGCGATCACATTTCCATACACCAACATGGAGCAAACACATCTTTTTCAATACGTAGGGACACTTTCATTGCACCTTGAGGTTGTTTTGGCTAAACCACCTGGGCAGGCCATGTGTTGCCCATGTTTAGAAATTTGATGGCTTGAGGAATAGACAAGACATGGATGTTGCTTCTTGTTGTTCTGAAAAGTGAAGCCAAGGTGGAAGTGCCTCTGGTAGTACAAATTATTCCTGTAGTAAACAGCCTCCACTTTCTGGATGATTGTATTGGAACAAGTGCTATTTTCAGAACAAACAGAATAAAACCTGAAGTAAATTTTGTAAATTATGAGTACACTCATGGGCCAATGACTTGCCAGTCACATGTGAGTATTGAGTAGCATGGTATCACTCACTTTCTCTGTAATGTCTTCCACGTGCTGCTGAGGCTTCACCATGAGACTTCACTAAACAATGGGTGATGTCACCGTTGTTATATCCATCTTTCAAACACATTAACAGCCATAGTGGTTAATTTAAGCCTTACCAGTTTTAATTGGTATACTGGCTTGCAATTGGTACAGTGGTGTAATCATCAGCTGTTGGCATGCTAGAAGATAAGCTGTTGGACATGATTATCATCAGTTGGACATTTTTACCATGGTGACATTCTTAAACTCAAAGCGACACTGCACAACAAGTGCATATGTGTCTGTAGACTCTAGATATTTCTGGACAATATTTTAATCTTAATGCTCTTATAGTATATGCCTTTAATGCCCAGTACATGTTTCTGCCATTCTAATGGTTCCCATAGGCCATTTGTCATGGTGCTAACATGCTCCGATCTATCAGGCAAAACATTTTGGATTCTATCCGTTTTCATAAAGAAGTCACATTTCACAATAATCTAGGACTAGCTGCTCTTGGCACTGACAAAACACAGTCATACCACTTTAAAGGTAATTGCAGCTATAATTATGACTGGGTGGAGGTAAAAAATTACCCAAATGCAAGCTTTGAATGTCATGAATTAATCACAGTGCAGTGCAGGTAGTATCACTGCAACTCAGCAGAAACTATGCCGGCCCAAATTTGGCTTTATTCTTTTTAGCTCATATTGTATCTTGCATATTTATCTTAATTAAATTATCTTCATTGATTTAAAATATGTTCTCTCCAGATCACTAAAAAGCAGTGCTGCTGGAGTGGTGCTCTACGTCTTGGTTTTACATCCAAAGACCCATCAAGGATCAATCCAGACACCCTGCCCAAGTATGCCTGCCCTGACCTGGTCTCCCAAAGTGGCTTCTGGGCAAAAGCACTTCCAGAGGAGCTCTCCAATGAAGGAAACGTCATCTCGTTTTGGGTAGATAAGAAGGGCCGGGTGTTCTATCGAATCAACGACTCCAGCCCCATACTGTTCTTCAGTGGGGTACATGTCTCAGAACCCCTCTGGGCTCTCATAGACGTCTATGGCCTCACTAGGGGGGTCCAACTGCTAGGTGAGTCATGCATTCAGAGGCAGGTCTACGTTTTATTATCTCAAATATTTTATTTACTCCCAAAAACCTTTAAAACTACTCATATTCCTGCCAGTTCTAAGTTTGATTTGTGCTCTATTTACAGCTGTTGTAATGATATTGCATTAGCTCATGAGACCCATTAAGGAGGCTAAGCTGAAATGGTAAACATTATACTGTTAAACATCAGCTAGAAGTTATCTCACAGCACCTCTCTGCCTGGGTAGACACTTACAGAGTTGATAGCATTGCTGCAGACTCTTTGTGTTCTTGGTGTAATGCTTTGCCACTAGAAAAACACTCTGCATCTGCTGCTTTTTCATCAAGTGATTAAAAGGTGATGTTACATACAGCTGCACTGCTTTTCCCACACCGGCCAAATGGCTCAGTGGAAAAAGATGGTGGGAGATTAGGCAGATTGTATAGTTAGCATGGCCGTTAGTATCAAAGAAATTTCCCCGAAGGGAGAATTTCAAAATGTCTGAAATCTTTTCTTACAATTCTGCCGTGCTGCTTAAAGGGTCATTACATCAAAGAAATGTGAAGCAAACCGGTCCGTCCCAATTATTAACAGCAGTGTTTCATCAATCTAAACCATCTCAAGTGTGTTTGGATTGGTGATTGTGTTGTATTTATGAAACACATCATAACCAAGCCAGCTTTTGAAAACAATGCAAACGGACAAATAGGAATCCTTGTGGTTGCCTCAGTACTTATTTATAACCATTTCCAAGAACCGCACTGCCTCTCCCTCTAAACAAAAGAGGCTGTCAGCACCAGTAATAAAAATAGAAGAGGCTCCCATATTGTGTAGATAGTGCCATTTAACCTTATTTCTTGTGGTGTGGTTGACAGCGAGAAGCGTGCTATCTCGTGATGGGCTGTTTGGTATCCAGCGCCAGAGTGTAGCTATCTGGGGTTCACTGGCCTCATGGTGCTGACCAGCACATTGCTCTTGTTCTTTCACAAGAGCAATGTGGTGTGGTGTTCATCCCAACAGGATAGACGACAGTAGGGATGATGTCAGGTAATGAGATGTTTGGGGTGTTTTTCCAAGACAATCAAATCAGTGGAATGTCTCACTCTGTGGATCCAAGTCTGAGTTTGACTTCGTTTGACATGCAGTCAACTTGCCTTCAACCCAAACTCGGATTCATATGTTTAAATGAAAGTCCCATTGGTATAATAAGAGAATTTTTCCGTTTTACAATTACAATTAAATCTGGGGTTTTCTGGAATGTGAGATCATACTTTACGCAATCTATGCCTGTGTATAATGTGAATGAGGCCAGCAGCCATAAATCCCACAGTTTCTACTCTAGTTTTTCCATATTGATCACTTTTATCCTCACATTGATGGCTTAAAGCGAAAAGCCTCAGCCCTCAGTCAGCTAAAGGATCACTTGGCTATCAGCTTTCCTCTATAGCCTGAGAACGTCACTGCTCAAGAGCATGGTATATCTCAAAAGGCCAGTATTGTCTCAGGGGTTGGCTGCAGTTCAGCAAACACTTAGCCTGAAATATGGGCAGACACATCAAAGTCTGGTGTTGCAAACTGGCATGCAATTTCCTTTAACAGAAGGCTGCTTTTTGATTCTTAATGATGCTTAAAAGCTGAGCCAAATTTCACCTGTTGTGGGCTTACACAATCTGCTCAGGTGGGAATTATAGATCGCCAGCAGTCTTTTTTTTTTGTTTTTTGTTTTGTTTTTTTTAACAGAAGACAAATTGTACGAGGAGCTGTGAATAGACTCCACGGAGTGTGGAGAAAGGCTTGGTTGGGTGACCTTGATTTGGGTTTTGAGATAAATGTGCAGGACAGTTAAAAAAAAAAAAAAAAAAGAAAAAAAAGAAGAAAAAAATGCGATAAACAGGATAATCATGATGATGATGATAATGATGATGATAATAATAATAATAATAATAATAATAATAATAATAATAATAATGTGCATCACTGATTAGATAATATGCTTCAGGAGTGTTAAAGGGCTTCACCACTAAGTTTACATAGGACTACTTTAGTACAGAGGGAGTACTCCACTCCACTCAAATTTAGGACCGTTGCAAAATCGTTTCTACTCAGCCAAACAACTCACTCCAAGACATTTCAGTCAGAGGTTTCGCTGCAGGTGCCTGATGTGGCCTCAAGATGCTAATCTCCAGCACTGATGACGGCTGTTATGTTCACTTTTTCCCGAACATGAGATTTAATTTACATTATAAGCTGAGAGTCTTCATATCCAACCAATTCCTGATTCAAGTGACATCTTTGGAAGCAATTTATCAGATTTCATGCACCTCCCTCAGAGCCGCAGATGATTTCATCAAGATTTTCTCCCAAATGCATTTCCTAAGCACTGTAAACAGACTTTTATGTTTAAAAACCGAAGGCCGCATCAGAGACCGGAGCTTGACTCGTTTGGAAAAATGTCAGCTTTTGGTATTTAGTTGGTATTTATTTACATTAATAGATATATGAGATTCAGCATATCAGAAGTCTGTTTTAGTCCATTTTTAAACATGCCTTCTTTGTTTCACTTTCAGCTTAAGAAAATCTATGGTATGATAACAGATTTCACTTCTCGTAACATTTTATGTCTATTCCTGTAAGCCGAACCAGTCTTGTCTTATTACCTCATTCCTCAGCTGACACGGCAGACACTGCCCTCCATTCACTTTGAGACACACATAGTGAGCTCGCTGTGATCTGATTTCATCCTTTATGTAAAAAGAATCCATGTCTTTAATATTTAATGGATTAATCATAATAATGTTCCTGCACACATCAGCATCACAACTGTTACTTCTGCAAAGTGCCACCTGAGTATTACTACCCTGTTAAAAGGTGATGGTTTGATTGTCTTTTCCTGCACAAATTTTTTCTGTGATCCCTTCCAGGGTGAATATTTCTTAAAAATCTGAATTTATTCTGAACGCATGATGAAGTTTTATAATTATCCGAGTCATTTTTCAGTAGATGTTTTTCATTCAGTGGCTGCAACCTCCCCTGAGGAGACGCAGTCAAAACTTTGTTTTCTTTAGCCAGTGGCTTATCCGCATCAAACGCATGCTCTGCATCGTTCTCATACCTTTGTGTCCATTTGATCTTTTACAACCAAAACATGCTATATTAAGGGATTCAACCAAGCTGCTATCCATCATCACCATTTCACTTGCGCTGCTCTTAATGCGGTCTGCTGTCAAACAGCTTAACTGCTCTCAGGTCTTATTCTGATGTTCAAGGATCTTTTCCAGTGCAGTGTTGTTTCCACTCTTATCATGGGAGTGCAGTTCAGTAGCTAGCCACCCATGCAAGAAGCCAAAGGTGATCCTGAGATCAGTGAGACTGCTTGAAAGCTGAGATGGCGTTACGTAAGAGAGGAACCTAAATTAATCTGCTGAAATCAAACTGAGCCTCGGGGGTTGTCCAGACCAACAATGCTGCCCATGCAATTTAAGAAAGATCTGTTACATCACCACACTTGTCCTACTCACACAGCTATCAATAAAGACTAAAGTGCATTGCTTGGGCTTTGTACAGAACGGACTGTGCTGTTGAGGATGCACGACACTACCATTTTAGCCCTTAGTAAGATTGACAAAAGATTTCCTCAAGTGTATAATATGTCCCAAGCAGTATAACTGGTTTTAAAGCTCAGTTTTCTCAGCTGTGTTTTCATAAAAAGGTCTCTGTTTACTATGTTTCCCCTAGCAGTATAACCAAAAGCCTGGCTTTACGTAAACCTTTTTAATACCCCCCCCCTAATATGAAATCAAAAAGTGTTAGTTTTCTTTTCTTACTTGCTAACTTATAGGCAACTTGTCAAGCTACAGAAACCAGGTCATAAATATCTGAAAAGAAACACACAGGGAAATGGTACACCGTTTTGTGGTAAAAAATGTAATGGGGGATCCGAATGCTCCCTTTACACCTATATAGCTGCAGTCTTAGTAGAATCTGTTTGTTTATGGGACGTATCCCAAGAGACCACACAGCATCCTCGGTTTTGTACAGGTATGATGGATTTTTTCCAAGTTAGATAAGCCGACAGAGTCAAAGGCATCTTTTGATAGATGCAAGATGCTTTACTGGGGGTTTGTTTACTAGAGGTAGATGAGTCACTTAATCACTGACAGAATGGTAGTGATCCGTGAGGCCGGCATCAGCTAACATCATCTGCAACCTGTCCTCTAGTCATTAGAGAAGAATCCAAAATGACTGCCAGACTGTCAAGAGGCTGCGTACCTCTCAGGTGATTAAGAGGGAACTGTTGACATCAATCATTTCCATACACGGCATTGCGACACATTAGACTGTAGAGCTTCATGGTGGGGAAAACTCCTGCTATTTGCTTTTCATGCTTACTAGCGTCTTCAGGGACATCCCTAACATTTACACCTGATGAAACACAGGAAAGGTTCCTTTTTTTTTTAAAATGCATGCTGCATAGAATATCCGTAGTAGTTGCAAGTATCCATGCATGGCTTTGGCAGCTTCACGTAACAGTGGAGAGAATGTTTTTTAAAATTGTCCACAATAAGGATAAATCTGTATTGCTTTAGTCATTTCTTGTGTTTTCACCTGGTAGATCATTAGACTGTGCATTATACAGAGATCTGAACTATTTTATTGTGGACTGGGAATTGTGATCACTTAAAATTAGCACAAGTCACTCTCCTACTCCATAATAAAAAGATACCCAGTTTGCACTCTCTTTTTCCTGCCAGTCCAGATTAGTTTGGAGTGCAAATCTGACAACAACTGCAATCTGCATTTACCTTATGGCTGCTGCTACTGAAATGTTGGTTATCTTTATTATGATTCATCTTTCGACTATTTTAATTCCTAATTGTTTCAGTCTATAAAATGAGAAATTAGACATCACTATCCTTTAAATCAGCGCCATCAAACCAGCTATTTGCCAAAAGAGCTAATATTAATAAACATAAAGAACACAAAAAAGTTAGCATTGGCTGTA